AGTAATATTTTACCTTATACGTAGTATAATTTTTCGGCGAAGGGTGGTCAGTTGACCACCCTTGGGCCAACATAACTTCGCCCCTGCTTGGGGGGTGTTGATGCTGCTAGTCATTATCTCACATAAGCATTTCGAGAACCTTAATAGAGATAAGATCAACAAGATAGTCCCCACACAGCATCACATATCCACAGAGACATCCAACAACTATTGACTTGATTCAATCCATTCCAGTGTACTTTCTTCTAATGCGAAAAAAATTAGGACTCAAACTCCTTCAGCCAGCCCATAGAGGTCTCAAGTGAAAATATGTTTATGTGACCATGTTTTAGCATTAAGAAAAGGAAAGCACATAACAAGCATGTAGTAATTATTTTAGGAAAGCACAATAAATCAATTCCTCTCCATGCAGAATAACAAGCATAATAGACCACAGAAATCCTACATAGCTATGTTCCGGAGAAGGCTTAACCACATAACAAGCATTCAACAGAGAACAAATATCTAAAGCTATTTAATACCTCCATAACTATTCCCCTCAAGCTCTCAGAGTGAATTGGAACAACTTTGCCCACTCGCAGCTGGAAGTCACCAAGTTGATATTGAAACCCCTATGTAAGTCAAATATTTTAATGAGTATTATGAAGTAGTGCTAAGTAAGTCCATTTTTAGAATTCTGGATGATAAATCAATGTAAGTACGGAAAATTATCTTCTAAGAATCACCATAGAGAACAGACAACCTTCACCAGCAACATATGGTGCTTTTGGTATTGCAAAAAAAAAAAAAAATGGCTAGTTCAAAAATGAGTCCTGTTTGAAAAAGTATAGCTGGCCAATGGCCACCCAACTGGATAACACAATTCTTTAAACTTTATTTTAGGCTGAATACATAGACACCTAAACTTGCCAGGATTTTAGATTTAGACACTTAATAAGCTCATGACCTATTAAGCGTTTATCTCTATTCAAACTGTACCTATTGGACACAGATGAGTTGAAACAGTTAAGAAAATACATGCACACGCTGGTGGCACGGCAAAGAAGCCACTGAGAGAATAGTTCAGGTGTCTAAGGGGCCCACATATGTATTCAATCATCACCGTGAAGTTCTTCAATCTACACAAATAATTGAAGCACAATAAATGCGGATAATATGACTTATAGACATTTAAATTTACAAAGCCAAGCCTGTGGATGGTGCTAGATAAGTTAATCATCCTCCTGCAGTAAGAACAACGATTTGCAGATCTCAGTAATACAAACCTCAAAATTAAGTGCAACCCTTGTTTTGTAAGACTGCAACTTCTCCATTATTGTCTGAATTGATGACTCTGCTTCCAAGATCAACCGTTGCCCTCTAATTACAAAGTAATACTTGTTGGGCTGTTCTTGAAGCGAAATACCCAAAAAATCACGGGGAAACTCCAAAGCATTTGCTTGTTCTACTAAGAGGGAAAAAAGTCACTCCGCAATCAAATCTCCTATAAAGGTGCAAAAGTACTCACAAAAATGACAACAAGGTTGCACCCGGGGATTTGGCCTAGTGATACGAGGAGGGCAACGTGTGATGTGTAACTTAGACGTACATCATGGGTTCAAAGCCTGTCACTGGCAAAAACTAGGTATTTAAGTGGGAAAATGTAGAGGGGTGGGTCCATTATACATCGAGTTCCGAACCGTGCACCACTGCCCTCGGGAGATTTCTCCCTTATAAAAAAATGATATGCAAGGTTGAAGCAGGTTCACATGTGCACAATATATGCACTATCAAGCCTAACTAACCTGAGAATGAATAGCTTAAACTTATCGCTAACATATATGTCAATGCTTGTGTGCATCTGTTTATATTGCCTAAAAGGACCACTTTTTTTTCCCAAAGTACAAGTTTTCAGACTTACCAAAGGCTGCTCATGAGAACCCTAACTTTTCATTCTCAATCTTTTACCCTATAAATCTTTACATCCTCACCCTAACATTTCATTTTCAATTTTTTACCCTGTAAATCTTCACATCCTCTTGCCCCCTCTCATTTTATCTTTGTAAAATTCTTCTTACTCGTGCTCCTACGCGAGTTTAACACGCTTCCAAACGGCTGCCTTACAAAAGAGGAACAATCCATCAATCAATTAACTAGACAGTTAGTGTCAGCTAGATAAATCCTCCAAATCATTCCAATCCTACTTCGCTTATAAATAGTTTATCTTACAGAAGAGTAAACCTACCTATAAATCCAATCTTTTTAATTAATTCAGAGGGGGAAAATAACCCTTTTATAGTAAATCACAGATTGGTACATGAATAAACTTTCACCTTATCCCAAAAATAAAAAGGCAAAGATCCTTCATAACCATTCTGCTCTATTCGGACCCAAATTTCCATAACTACTTTGCTTATCAATAATTTACCTTACGGAAGATAAAACCTACCTAAAAATCCAATCTTTTTAATGATTTCAGAGGGGTGGGAAAAAGCACTCATGTATAGTAAATCACAGGTATCAACAAAAAATGCTAAAAACCCAATTTTTTTTAATGAATTCAGAGGGAAAAATCCACCCTTTATTGTAAAACACAGGTATAAACAAAAAATACAAAGATAATACTAGTATTTATTAAATAGATTACATGGTTAATTATGTAATGAAATACCTCGGAGCATGGGTTTGTAGAAGCTAAGAGTAGCTTTCCACCTTCCTTCTTTAACCCCATTTATACTCTCAACACACTGAGATACTTCTGTTAGTATTTGAGTGTTGACTGTTGTGCCTGCATTTGGCTGCCAGTGCAAAACCCTAGGGACAGACAAAGTAACATAAATATAAGCAAATGCACTAAAATCTATAGAAAATGTTACTTTGCTTATAAAATTCAAGAATCATTACCATTTGATTGGCATATTGTTGATTGCAAAAACAAGCTGAGAAAACTACACCCTAAAACCCCTTTAGCCCTTTGGCTCTTCTTGGAGGAAAAAATGAAGGGATGTTTTTCCCAAAGTGTTCGTTTGTTGGCTGCAAAATTCAAGGAATGTGTAGTTTTTGTGAGAATACCGAAAATATGCAAAACTCATACATGGAATGCAACTTTCATGCGTCCTAAGTTAACCGACGTAAAGAGCCGTCAAGGAGTGGCATTAACTCAAATCGCATTCTTCAAATGAGTCTTATAAAACTCAATGTTGTATGAAGCTCATTTAGAATTTGCAACTCTTAAGTCTCAGTGGTTGAACGCATTTTGCTCTTTCCAGACTCTGACCATGTTGCAGAGAATATTCGTACTCTAAGTGCAGTTAAAAATTGTGATTAATTGAAATGCACTAAAGGCTTGCAATTTATCTTTTTAGATTCCTGACATGAAGAGATTCCTTACAAGCGGAGAATATTTGTACTATAGACTATTTGTGCTAAATGCACCCCTGAATTGTGACTATGTGAACTTGAGGATTAATGCACTGGAAATGTTTGTTGCTACAGAGGCTTTGTCATTTCATGACAGGGCAGCTGATATTCCTTTAAATATCAATTCTCAATGGGTTTCACTCAATTGCTAACAAGAACACATGGACAGACATTTGATGATTGGCTGCGGGCGACTAATGAATTTTCAATTGGCAATATGAACTAACCAATATTGGTGCTAAACCCAATGACAATTGACAACCACAATATTCCATTCTTGACAAAAGCTGTGCTAGACAAAGAGTACTACTATATGGCGACATGTGAATCGGAGAAATGCGGGAATAAATGGGTCGAGGGGACCAAATTCAGAACTGGAGAAAGGCCAAAGCAAAGACCAAATGAAACGGGCCATAAAAATGTGGAGTGTTTATAGAAACAAAGAGTTCACTGTTATTAGTGTCATCTACTGGAAAATGCTAATTCGAGTGAGGAAATTTAACTTTGGGAGCAAAGTACAAACTCAAAAACCACAAAATGATGCAAATTCAAAGCAACTATTAACACCCACAAGATCATAATCAACAGAAGGGAGCTCGGATTTTGAAAAGAGGAAATAAATGGAAACTTGCAAAACTCAAATTGAGCAAAATCCATATTTTAAAAAAAAAAAAAAAAAAAAAGGAAACCTTGTTATATATCAATGCGCAAAACTAAAAACGATACCTAGAATTAATGGATTGTTTATAGAAATTACCTGAAAATCAGAAGATTTTGAATAGGGCCTTTTCTCGGACGAAGCAGCGAAGGAACTGAAGGTTGAATGTAGGTTATTTTTGAGCCCACATTACATTACTTCATTCGCCGTCGAAAATGGCGGAGTAATGCATCGGAGGGGGCGGCGAAGGGTTCTGATCGTGGAAGGGAAACTGTTAGCCAAAAGCCGTTTGTATTTAGCGACTGTGTGCTAGTTCAGATTCACTGCTACAAGACGCATTCACATTACGCGACTTACAAATCGCATAATCGCACTTATTTGCGATTTATCTTTAATGTTTTCGCCTCCTACCCTTTATTTTAAGTCTTAATAGCATGTTTGGTCAAGCTTTTCAAGACTACAAAAGTATTTTTTTTTTTCTTCTCAAAAGTACTTTTATTTCCTATAACTTGAGGTATTTGGCCAAGTTTTTTTGGGAGAAAAATATATTTTTAGGAAGAATAAGAAGCAGTTTCTCAGAAGTAGAAAAAAGTAGAAGCAGAAGCAGTTTTGACTTTTCTTCTTACCAAAAATACCCTTAATAAAATATAGTATATATCAAAATAATCGTTAAACCTAATACTTTGGATATTAATATATAAATATTTCTTATTATTTTTAGGATAGCTTTCTAATATATAGTGACTTTGGGGGTGAATGTTTTTATATTTGTTGAATGATTTTTAATATATTTAACTTATATTAAAATAATTAAGTACTTTTAAATTTTATTTTTATATTTTACTTAAATAAAATAAAAATATTTAATTATTGCATGTAGTAACAAATTTTTTAGATTATTTATTTATTTATAATAGTAACTATAAAGTAAATCTATTCATGTCCTTATTTATAATTTGATACTTAAAAGTATTTTCTGAAAAACCTGATCAAACACAAATTATTGCTCAAAAGTACTTTTCGGAGTTATTAGTCAAACACAAACTACTTCTCTCCCAAAGTACTTTTTTCAAAAGCACTTTTGAAAAAAAAATACTTCTCAAAATAAATTGATTTCTCCAACTTGGCCAAACAGGCTATAAGTCTCATTCCGTATATTGATTTTTGTAAATTTTTGGTACTCTCCCAAAAACAATACATTTCTGGAATTGGCCAGTCAAAGTACATATTTTAGCCTATTAGGAAAAAATTCGAATTTGGAAATACATATATGAAAAAGCACATGCCCTACTAAGGGTGGTATGTGGGTCGGGTCCGGTCCTAAGTGGACTTCGCGGGCCCGGCTCTAAGTGGGCCGGTCCTAGGTGGGCCGGTCCTAAGCGGTCCCGGGCTTCGCGGACTTCTTGTTGGAATCGGTCCGGGACCGGGACCACGAACTAACGGTCCCGTGTTAAGTGGGCCGGTCCCAGGCCTAAGCTGGCCCAAACGGTCCTAAGCGAGTCCAGGTGGGCCCAACAGATACTTTCTATTTTTTAAATTATTTTTATACAAGTTAGAGAAAAAAAAATGGTAATAAAAATATCTNTGATATTCAAAGCAATGCGTTATATTTTTATTATAGCATTATAAAATCATGGCAATATCTTTCTTAGTCTTCCTCCCCCCTATGGAATGAGCACAGCAAGGTGCTAATACCATAATTGAGAAGAAGAAAAAACTAATCAAGATGTGCCAAAATACAAGTTACATATAAATTTATATGGTATCTCTTACAAATTTCATAAATCCTTCAAGGTCCAGAGGAATTTCCGTTAGTGGTGGCGGGAATGAAGCTTGGTCATCACCGCTTCCAGGCGAAGCATCATCCTCCGCAAGTTTTATACTTAGCCCTATTTTTTTCTCTTAGTTGAGTAAAAAATGGCCAAACAAGAGATGTTTCTGCCCGTTTAGAAGGTTGTCTAGAAAAAGTAGGGCAGTAACAGGAGGGTCAGACGGGGGATTATTTGGATTATTATTAGTTGGATTAACTTCAGGAGCAGGACTAGTGGGTGTATCGTCATCCGGTTGCGTTTCATCAAAATCTATTTCTTCATCATCATTTTCATCAATAGTTGAATTACCATAAAGAGCATTTACATATTCATGGTTTAATTGTTCACCGGGTGCAATATTATGGCAAAATTGACTCTCGATAAATTGTAATAAACTATTATCGCTATCAAGAATAGGAGGTGTAGGACGGGTAACAGGTTTGGTCCGGGGAGCCAGGGGAAGTGGAGGAGGAACATATTGGCCACTAGATTCACCACTCTTGGATTTTTTCTTATTTTTACTAAATATTTTTTAAGGAATAAGCCATCTTAATTAATCAAGCAAAGTAAATAAAACAAACAAAACTATAATATTAAAACTTAAGAGTTGAAACGAGTTTACCGAATTGACGAACAACTTGTTGAAAAATAATTATCGTTGAAGACTTGAAGACTTCAATTCACCAACTTCACAATTTTGCACAAATTGTAACAATTAAGTAAGCAACTATAGAAGAACATTAGAGAGAGATTGATGATTTTGTGAGAAAAATGAATGAATGAGGGGATATTTATAGTTGAAAATAAGGGAAAAGTGTAATTATAAATAGTTTGGGGTTAAAACGAAATTTGAGAGGTTAAATGACTATTTTGCAAATAGCCAACGGCTATTTTAGCAGACCAAACGGCTAGTTTTTAAATGGCCAAACGGTCAAAAAAGAAAATATCTGTTGGGCCCGGATATGACCGTTTAGGACAGCTTGAACCGGCCCAATTCTCAACCGGTCCCGGTCCCAAACGGTCCCGGTCTCGCGGGCCTCGCCTATGAGACCGGCCATTACCCGACCCTGTGGGCTTGCGGTTCTGGGCCGGTCTCGGTCCTAACCGGCCCACATGCCACCCTTATGCCGTGCTCCATTGTTTTTCCCTTTAAGAGATTACATTGTCATTAATATTAGAGTGCTATTTGGCCACACTCATAATGGCCCAACGATGGCCACACCCGTAAAATACCATTAAAGCCCTTGATTTCATATTTGGCTTAATAACCATTATTTCCCTCCAAAATATTTCCCTCCCAAATTAGTTAATAACTATTAATTATCCCAAAATATTGATCCCATAAAATCATCATTCTCTCGTGGGAAGATCAAAAGCCTTCCTATGTATACGTTAGGGTACGCGTTTTGCGCGTGTATCCTATATCAATAAAATATATATTTTTTAAAAATTATTAAAAAACTAATAAACAATGTGTTTGACTTTTAAAATAAAAGTTAACAAAAAAATATATAAGTTCTTGAAAATGATGACTACTAAATATATTATTTAGCTGGTTCAATGAATAAAGAATTCTTTTCATAAAAGTTCTTAGATGCCTTATTGTAGTTTCTAAGGACTTCTATAGAAATATCTTATAAAAGAATATTGTTATTTTTATGATCTAATACAAAACAAATTAAAAAAATATGTAAATACTACTACCAACAAAGATTTGCCAAATAAAATAAACTAAAAAAAATTCTCTGCCATTTTGGGAATGAAGAGGTTGGTGTTATGCTCGTAGAAAAAATTGATAAGGGGAAACGTAACGCCTAAATGACTTATATTCTTTTACATCAAACAATTTAATATAGAACATAAGAGAAGTTTTCATTTGTAAAATAATAATAATAATAATAATAATAATAATAATAATAATAATAATAATAATAATAATAATAATAATAACAATAATAATAATTATTATAATAAATGACAATTCCTTTAGAATATAGTTTGTATTATATTGTTTCCTCCTGATTGCTTCAAGTTTGTTTTTTTTACGAATTTGACTCTTAATACTATTATAACCAATTTTTCCATATGCTAATGCTATTCTTATCAAAAAACATTATGTATCATATTCGGTTTATCAATTTGAAAATAATTTTACTTATATGATAAATACGAAAAATAATTAAATTAATTCTTGTTAAATAGTTAATTTAAAGGCTTAATTATTTGTTCCCAACATCAAAGGAAATTACATATTAGTAGTTTTCACATAATTCAAATAAGGAAAGATTTATTAATTAAACTTTTTAGTTGATATCAAAGTCCTAAATATTAGAAAAGTAATTAGATTCTATTACTAAATATTAGAAAAATAATCAAATAACTATTTTGTCCAGTGTGAACTCTAGTTTAATTAGAGTATAAAAAGGCGAACTATATTTCGCTAAGGGCCTTCGTGCAAATAAAAATATTAATGAGCCACATTTGATTTAAAAAAATTCTAGAAGATAATTTGATAAGAACTTTTAACTTACATAAATAAATTCACAAGAAACATAGAGATAAAGAAAAGAATACAAAAACATAAAAGAATATCGAAACGAACATTCCAAATATATACGGATGCTTGTTGATGCAAAACATTGGATAATTTTTAGTACAAAGATTTACCATTTTGTTAAATAATTACGATTTTTTAATATCTTTCATGTCAAAATAATAAATACCAAAAGAAAGATATTTAATTAATTAAAATTTTACTCCTTTTTAAAATCCCTACATATTAGTAGTTTTCACCTAATTCAAATAAGGAAAGACTTAATAATTAAACTTTTAGTTGATATCAAAGTCCTAAGTATTAGGAAATTAATTAGAGTACTATTACTAAATATTAAAAAAATAATCAAATGACTATTTTGTCCGGTGTGAACTCTAGTTTAAGAGGGTAAAATGGCGAACGACATTTCGCTAAAGGCCTTCGTGATTTTAATATAGTATAGATTAATTTTCGAAAATTTATATGGTATATAAATTCGAATAACCTTGAATCCTAAGTAACAATTTTGATTATGAAATATTAATGAATTAAGTTATGTATTTTGCATATTTAGTCCCCCTTTAATAATCAATAGCTATTGACTAAGGTTATAGTCATATGGCCTATGCTAATTACATCGTTGTGATTCATAGTAATATTGACCGTTTATATAATAGCCAATTAATAATTTCTTTCATTAAGGTCATATGTATCGGCCACTAGTTATTCATAGCAACCACATAAGTCCATTAACTAAGGTTATAGTCATATGGCATATGCTAATTACATCGTTGTGCTTCATAGTTATATTGACCGTTTATATTATAGCCAATATATAATTTTATTTATTAAGGTCATACGTATCGGCCACTAGTTATTCATAGCAATCATATAAGTCCACTGACTAAGGTTTTATTCATATGGCCTATGCTAATTATATTGTTGTGATTCATAGTTATATTGACCATTTATATAATAACCAATATATA